TTTCGTAATTTATTTAATACTAGCTGACCCAGCAAACTTCGTACCGCCATAAAAAAATTAATTAAAAAAACATTGTCCAGCGGGCAAAATTGTGAATCTAAACCATTCTCAGATCCCCTTGAACACACACAAAAATTTCATCAAAATCGGTCCAGTCGTTTAAGAGAAGTTCAGTGACATACACACTCACAGAAGAATTATATATATAAAGATTGATAACTGCACGATAAATGCGTATTCCTTTTTTAAAAAGATGTATAATGCTTTATATACAAACTCAATGGTGTAAACACAGATGTAGTTCAGTATAAATTTCGGTAAGTATTCCAAATTTAAATCACATTCTCTCCCTAGAGGATGAATGAAATTCAATACAATTTTCTTTCCCTGTTTTTAACAGATTAAAAATGACTATTGTTATGTTCGCTGTTTGTGGCATAGAATGTCACTTTTTTGAGCAAGTGGTACGGAAATATAGTTTATTTGTTACAAAGTTAGATCGTCGTCCGAATCGTCTTCATCAGAGTTGGAATCATGGCCTGAATTCACGGTTGATATGGCGGCTGTTTGTGAAACTGAGAATATGTAATATTGATTTATGTGTAAAGACTAATTCGATTTCGTTGCTTTGTTTTTATTATGTTCATATGGCTAAACACTCTTTCCACGTCGGAATTTGAATGTGATAATACTAAAAGAGGCAAAGCAAAAGTAACAAATCCTTGGAATATTTTCAAATCAATTCGAATATGATAATATAGTACGTTACTGTAAAGCTAAATTAAAAAGTTAAATAAAAAATGGGTGCGTGTACTTATGTAGGCGCGTGAGAAGTTATCCTTCTTTGGCATCGTTTAAAATTAGTTTTTAATTGCATGCAAATAATTAATTACAATAAATTAATAAAAAGTCTCGAAAAGGACACAGTCAATAAAGTTCAGTTTTAATTTGAATATTAGTTTAAAAATAAATAAATAATCAAAATATTCAATTAAAATCGCTACTGAATATAATTTATTAGAACATATGTGATTTGCACTTGTATGAAACTCAAACACGTATTCCGAATATACAAACTAGAAACATGTGGATAAATATTATAAATATGAATACCTATAATAACTGTTACTTTATTACAAAAAATAAAGATGTGGTTGTTGGTTCTACTACACCAATGGTCAAGAGATGGCGCTGTAGTCTCCTGAATCGCGCTTTGGTTCCGTTGTTCCAGATTAATAAATACTTTTGATAGGCCTTCACAATGCAGTCGTTAGCACCCACTAAATAGAGCTTCTATTTCTATTTTGTTGGTAGATTTTCTTAATGTGCGGTAGACACAAAAGTAACGCATGATGTTGGTCGCTAAAGCGACCAACTTCATGCTGTTAAAATTTTGTGTTACAGTGATGCGCGCGCATCTTAAAATTTCACTCTCATCATTTTTTCATAACGCGCCTAAAGAAGTATAACTTCAAAAATAATCTGACACAAAACATATCATTTTATGTGTATAATCTATGACAGCGCTGCAAACAAAACACCTTTTTTCCTAATGCCGGCACTTCACTTGTCTATTAGTATTTGCTATTTTAAAACATGACATCAGTCTGTCCTTTTCATTCCTTATTAAGCATGACAAGGAAAACTGTTGTCAAGTGAAGGGCCGGCATAAAACTCGATACTCTGTGGTTGCTGTGCAGGCAGTTTGCATTCGTAGTAATCTGTGGCATTCGTGCATTCCAAAGAGTAGTTTAATATACCGGAAAGTGCATTCTCGTTTCGGATTACCTGTATTGTGTGTTTATGTTCGATTGTTTTTCCTTTAATTTAACTATTTCGGCTATCTAATATACCATCGATGTTACCAAAGAGCAGAGATCTTATTACCAGTACCAAGAGCTAGTGAACCTGTGCCACAACATCCTAAGGATCATACTGCCAAATTATTCAAGAGCACCTGATACACATTCTCACTGCATATTTACACAATATACATGTGATATACAAATAAATACAATATTCAATATGATACAATTCTGTTAAAAATAGTCAATAAATAAGAAGCAAAACTACAGTTTTATTTTATTCATGATTCCTACCCCACCAAGTTTTTCCTAATAGTTAGTAGTAAAATGAATTAGTTGTAATATTAATTCACTTCATACTGCTTTCATACTAAGTTCATAGGTTGACTTATGTTTCATTAAATATAATAAATAATCTTTGTTTTTACAGTCATTTACTTGCTATTTCGAACCTAGAAAATAATATTTCATGATTGTTGGTTTGTCTTAGGCTAACTATGTATGGACGCAGAACAATGTCCTTTTGTATGAAACATCTTATTCCTTGAGTTAATAGACTTTGAAACTTGGCTCGAATACTAAATTCTCCATATTTTGTCCATTAGGAAATAAATTAGGTCTGGAGGGCCTAGGATCTTACTCTATGATAATATATTATATGTCATGAGAAGTTCTGCATTTCAAGGTTGACCCTCTTACACTTATTTGCCCATATTATTTTACATCTCGAGAGAGAACGTTTAGTCCACTCTATGTCTACGAATCGAACACAAAATGGATACCTACATACATCACGATAGACTAAACTTCAAAAAATATAATAATATCTGGTTTAATTAGTACCTCCCTATAAAAACAATAGTTTTTATTTCACTTCGATATGATATGGATATACAAAGTTACAGTATCACTTATCTATTAGACAAGTCCGTCTGTCTGTGGTGCTGTTTCAGCGGCCAAACCGTAAGAGATAGATAAAGAGAATATTTAAGTTATAAGTTAAGAATAGTCTGATAAGACTACAAACCGGATTTGAGTAACGTAGCACTTCCGGTTTTCGAGAAATCAGGTTTTGGTGAAGATTTGGTTCACTGGTTTGCTAGTGTATATGATAATTTGGTGAAAACGTTACAGCTTGCTTAGTTTACGTGCGCGCAGTCAAGGGCTGCGTGACGTCTTCATATCCTACAGAGCATACGGCCCGCACTCCCACACCGCACTTTACCTGTAATAGTACATCACGCAAGTGACTTTCATGTGAACAGTGGCCCATATATATCATTACCTATCTTAAAAAATGTACATATTGTCTAGTATCAAGTATATGAGCTTGATTTGAAGAAAAATGTAATTGACATATTTTAAGTTGAAAGTTCTACATTTGTAAAGTAAATAAAAAAATACTGTTTCTGACCCTCATCCACGCATAATAGATACCAATAGAAATAATGGATAATTGGCATCAAGATTCAAAATGAAATAAATAAATTTACATTTAATTTGTAGTCAAATCGTGTGAATAGAAAAATGAAAAAAGCAGTCAACTAAATAGCTATACTTTTCAGAATAAAATAGATATTAACTGTATTACATTCATCAGAATGCTCAGTTTCTATAGCTAAAAGATTGGTAAAGAAATATAAATAATTAAAAAAATGTCTTGAAATCTACGAAGTGAGGGACCGCAATCACAAAACAGCCACGCGAGCGACTCGCCGCCGCGTCGGTGTTCGTGAGTTAGATGGAGCTTAGTGTGAGTGGGAGAAATTTATCGTCACATGGCAATTACTATAATTTTTCAAAGATGGCTTTCAAAGAAGCATGGCCTTCCTTGGTCCACCCACCTTAGAAGGCAATGTACAGAGATAACTAACATTTCTCAAGTACACAATAATTTAGTCAAAAAACAAATAACAATCTAAATCATTAGTAAGAAAATCGGGTGTTCCACAAGGCAGCATTCTCGGACCATTACTCTTTTTGTTACATATAAATGACCTCCCTACTGCCACAATACATAAAAGCATTCTGTTTGCTGATGACACTACTTTTATCATTAGGGGCGAAAACGGTAATTCTGTAGAATCGCTAGCTAATACTGCTTAAAACGATATTATGAGATGGTTGAAGGCTAACGATCTGAATATTAATCTTAACAAAACTAAAATCATGCAATTTAGATCATACGACTCACCCAAACAAACTTTTAACATTCAATACAATTATAATAAAATAGAAGAAGTTTTTAGGATTACACATTGACACACATCTTAATTGGAAGGAACATGTGGATGTTGTTTGTAAAATACTATAGGAAGGGTACGACGAAATATGTATATCAATAGAGGCTGCTCTCTCTTTTTATAAAAACCTATCCTTACTTCTTTAAAACCCGTGCGGATATGGCAACGAGGCAGCTGCGTAAAAAATATACAGAATTTATATATCAACCTCCCTGTCTCCAAGATATATATAGGTATATATAAATATAAACGAAATGTATCCAATACGAGCACATTAATTTATTTATACCAGACATTTAAAAACGCAAAAAGGGGCTTCATTTGTAAGACATTTAACCAATTGGCTATTGTTCAAATGTTTTTATACTATTGAGGAATATTTAGATTGGTAACTCTACCATGTCTTATTAATGACTTATATGTACACTTTATTTTACATAATACTTTTTATTAGTGTATAAATTTTTTGCATGTCTGCGAGCAAGTTAAACACGTGTACTTATTTATATAAAAAGACCTTTGTAAACTGCGTTTGTGCAAATAAAATATTTGATTGATTGATTAATTATGGGTACAAGAAGCTTCATATTTGTAGTAAGTGTAGTGCTCTAAAATCAGTTGGAACTGGATGATCTAGTGAATTAATTCCAGTTTCGAAGTGCAGGAAGCCGAAATGTTTGGTCAGGCAAGCAAATCAAATTGCTTTACATTTGGCTACATTCTTTATAATATCTACCCCTTGGTGACGCCCTTAACCAAAATGTAGTGTTATATCACTGTGATCTTCTGAAAGGTGGCGATTACTTCCCACGTGGAAATTCCAATAAGAGCGCAAACTCCGTTATTCTAAAAACTTCCGTCCTATCTTATTACAGAAAAACTACATAAAATTTATCTTAGTATCTTGTTCTAAGTTATTAACATTATGTAATAATAAAATATGTATTTTCAGCATGGCATGGGTATACCGTCAGTGGGCATTCTATTGCACGAGATCATAAAGCTGATGTACCACGCGAAGGTGCGAGACCCCGTGTTCTTCAGGATCGGCACGTGTGGTGGTATCGGCTATGAGGGTGGCACTGTCATCATCTCGGAAGAGGCCGTCGATGGCGCACTCAGAAATGTGTTCGAGTTGGTAAGTCGTGATTCATTTATAGGTTAATTCATGACAAGCCAAAAATAACGTGCTTTTATGATATGGTTAAGTTGAAAGTTTGAATTTATTTACCTTTAAATTCGTTTTTATCAACAGCATCGAATAATATCTAAAACAAAGTTTTGTATTGAGATATCTGAGTAAACAACTTTAAGTTATGCCTTGCGATTCTTCAGCTTAATTGTAATAATGAAGTAGGTTACGACATCTTCTAAAAGTTAAGATTAATTGCAGAAAAATATAGTAAAATTTTGTTTCATACATATATGTACTTGGATTGATGGTCAGATGTTACTTCTCAGCCACCATAAATTGGATATTGTAATGCCCTTTGAAAGCTCGCTCGGCTTCAAACACCCTACCAGTGCTTCAAGTAAGCCTTCAAGGCAGCTCAGCGCAGCGTAAGCTGACAGCCACATAGGCTTATTTGAAGCACTGATTTTCAGCCTGAGCGAGAAATTGTATCATTACGCATATCCTATATAGGATGATAGAGATGGACAGGACAGTTTATTGTTCACGATTTTAGAATAAGTAGTATACACACACAATTCTATCATTTTGTCTGTTTGTCTGTCGGTTTGTATGGTATGTTCGTTATCACATCACACCAAAACTGCTGAATTACGATTAGAAAGAGACAAAGCGAATTTTAATGATACTCGAAATTGTGAAGAAATTCGCTTTCGGAACATAGTCAATACATAATGAAGTTAAAAAAGGTAGCGCGAATTTCAAATCCGATTTACGTTTGGGCACGCACACACAGTATGTTTGGTGGTATTAGATCGTTAGCGTTTTGGTTCGGTTAGATTTCTGAGATCGGATTTTCGTGTTGAGAAATCGATTCGGAATCGATTTGTTTTAGAAATCGGATTTTGGATTCGCTTTGATATATCGGACGCATGCCTACTATTTAGTTACCATAGTGCGCATGGTGTATAACCCGTCAAGTACTCCTTGAGTGCGTTTCGGGGTCGGCCAGGGTACAACTAGAACTTGAGTGGGTGTTGCCGCGACAGATTCGAACTGGAAGACGGACTTGTGGAATAGGGAGACTGGGCCATGACTCGCCACGCGGGCCCACTGCAGGATTAGTGGGTGGTATATAAATATTTTCTTTTACTTCGTTTCTACCGAGTGATCAATGACACTCACGCCTTTTTTTTTCTATTTGCAATTATAACCTACTCCTGTCTTCATTGAACGTCAATCGGAATTGCTTCATAAAATTAACATTGACGCGAGCGAAGCCGCGGGTAAAGGCTAGTATTATATATATTGGGTATATATCTTTAAATGTATTCTATGTATGTCCGTTTAAGTATTTTAAATAAATATTTATTTAGTTAGTTTTATTGGTGTATGTTTATGGTAGTATCCAATCACTTACTTTTTTTACTAAAGCCGCATTCATGCTGTTAGCGTTAAGTCCACCTTTTTATCCATTTTTGTAAGTGTGGCAATAAAGTTTAAATAAATAAAATAAATTGTAAAATTTAAGGAAAATTTATTTAGGTGAGAGGAGTGTGTAATCGCATTCAGAAGGTTTAATTGTTTGACGGTATTGTAACTGTAGTACAAATCTATCCTATTGTTGACTCATTTCAATTTTAAATCACGAGCTTTGTGAATATGTATTTTCAGCTAGTGTTGGGCAAGAACATTCAGCGGCCTGCCAAGCTAGACAAGAGGTTGGCACGTGAGCTGAAGGGCCTGGCTGACCCTGAGGACCCGTACGATACGGTTACGGGCAAAACCATGTGCACTTACGATTTTTACGAGGGTAAGCTCTAATAACATTAGGTTTAACCTATTTAAGCCGTATAAGCGCTTATATTTATTTGTTTATTAGAGATATATTTGTTTCTTAGGTTTTAACGCACATCACTCATTAAATAAAACTAGTTTTTACGGGTTAATGCACGAAAACTTTATTTTCATCCCACCACCTCGGAAAGTGTAATTTTGCGCTTCGAAATCTGGCTGGAAAATTCTATTTTATTCGCTTGAGCGGCAAAGTAGATTTGAATTTAGAACATCACATATAATGAGTACTCAATATAATTGTAAATTCAAAACGTCATTAAACCTATTTAATGTAACCTCTATGGTGCCAAATTTATGATTAGAACTTTTTAAATTGTGAAAAAATTTAAATTTGGAACCTTCTTGGTTTCTTTGTTTTATTTGCGTGCTTCGCGCCATTCTAGTTTTTCACGTTTTATTGCTTAATATAATTAACATAACCTAAAAACTGTACAAAAAAATCAACTAAAATGAGTGACATTAGCGACGATGAAGTTTATCTAACGCCAACTGAGTTAACTGAAACAGTTAATAATGCGCAAATGAGCCTTCTCCCTCAGCAATCACGAGAGAAGTATTTGAAACAGTACGATATATTTAACATGTGGCGACCACGGACCTAAAAAAAAGACGGACGTAACCTCGTCTAATCACGAGTGAAGCATGCAAATGGCCGCCCTTTTACCGTGTGTGCGTGATTTGAGGGTGGTCATATAAGTCATCGATTTCCCTATTTTTTAAATGTCTCAAACTAAAATATTGTTAACACTATGTAGGTAATCCCGTTATTGTAATATGTATTTATTACAATAACGGGATATTTACCATGTTTTTATTAGATGTGAGCTCCCGATATTTCAGTAATTTAAACGGTTGCACTTCAGAAACATAATGTTGGCCTATCAAACATCATTTTTATGACGACCGTTAGAAAAATGAAAACACAACTATCTGGTTAATATTACACATTAATATACCTAAATCGCGCAGATTAATGCTTAAAATAAAAATATAATAGACTAATATTATTATTTCTTCTTTTAAATGTAAGTGTTTCATTCATAGATTTAGTAGGTATTTAAAGTCTGACAGAGTGAGAGGAAAAGAGATATGTCGACATGGGGACAGGAACTTCAGAAAACTGTCAAACCCTTGCTTCTGAAGCATTCGTATTCTTAATACACGGTATCAATTAGCATTTTAAATTACCTCTGGGATATTTACTGGTAAGTGCAGAGCAGAAATTTAATTAAATTTATTTATGTCTTTTAAAATGTTATGATGCAGGCTTAAAGTCGCATGCTTAACATTCGATATACAAAAACAGAACACAGTAATACAGGCCAACTAGGTCCCTGCTTCAGCTTAATACTACAGCAACACCAGGGCTGCTGCAGCGCTGATAATTCTGGCAGGGTTGACGAGACATTTTTAATTTAATAATATAACAGAAGATTAGAACCATACCAATCAGCATGACAAAAAAAAATAACAACATAGGCTGAATGCTTTTAGTATCTTAAGCCTTAAAACAAGAGAAATGAATTTATTAAAAAATTAAATAAAAATGAAATAAGATTTATCTATGACAAACTAGAACTTACAAAAACCAAAACTAAAATCTAACAATAAAAAAACACAAAGAAATAATTAGTTACAATCAGTTTCTAAACACAAAAAAGTTTGCTACATATTTACATATACATAAACAACAAAGAATTCACAGCGAGAACATACCATTTTATAAAACATATAAAATATTCTATAAATAATATGGCTTCTATTCTTTTCCTTTTGGGATAAGGAACCCTAAAAAGTTACGAAATCTGACCTTACCGAGTCACAAATGCAAGAAATACAAAATTCCCTACTTTTAGGGAAAATTTCCCGTAAATAAAGTAGCCATACAGTTGTATTTTTGTTTACAATTTTCATCCCAGTAAATAAAATATAATATGGAATAAATATCAAGAATTGTCAATACTTACGCATGGTAGGTAATTCCTTGTGACTTTTTAAATTTATTCGTGTAGTTTTTACAGGATTTCACCACACAAGACGGCATTTTTAATTATTTTTATCAGAGCAATTGAATGTGTGACTGCCGCTGTCACGCGGGGTCAAATGGCAACGTTTTGTCCGACCTGGTGCATTAGTGTGAGTGTAGGTTGTGTACAACAAACGATTTTGTCTGACCTTGCATGCTTCACATGATTTGCCTTTGATGTTACGTCCGTCTTTTTTTTAGGTCCGTGGTGGCGACTAGCTAAAGGAGCAAAAACTTTCTCCGAAAACGTTTTGCTGGCATATTTTATAGAATTATCTGAGACCAAGAAAGCAAGCACGCTATGGAGTACGTATTCAATGCTAAAATTAACAATTAAGATGAAGAAAGACGTTCATATCGACACCTATCATAAATTAGTGGCATTTTTAAAAAGAGCCTCATCTGGTTATAAACCAAAAAAATCGAAGGTTTTCACAGCATCTGAAATTGCAAAGTTTATTAATGAAGCACCTGATTCCGTATATTTAGCGGCAAAAGTAAGTCAATACGTGTAATTTTTTGTTGTTGATAAAATTGTACATAGTACTTACAATATTTTTAATTTGATTAATTTATTTACGATTATAAATACTTCTTTTGTTACAGGTTGTTCTTATTATTGGTATAACCGGAGCATGTCGAACAAATGAACTTACACTACTTAATGTCAATAACGTATCAAAATATTCTCATAATTCTGATGAATTGCTATTAATTAATGTACTAAATACCAAGACAAAAAAAGACCGCAACTTCGTTATTCGCAAGGAATATGTAAACATTGTTCAGAAATATCAAGCTTTACGTCCTTCTAACACCCCAATTGAACGATTTTTTCTACAATATCGCAACGGAAAGTGTATCCGACAACCTATGGGTCAGAATAAAATTGGCAGTATTCCACGAGAAATAGCAACTTTTCTCGGACTTTTAGAACCCCCGTTATACACCGGTCACTGTTTTAGAAGAACCTCAGCCACACTTTTGGCCGAATCAGGGGCTGATCTTCTATCGCTTAAGCGCCATGGAGGCTGGAAGTCTAATTCGGTTGTAGAGGGATACATAGAGGATTCAATCCAAAGTAAATCAAAAATTTGTAATAGTATCGTGGAGGCCATAACGCTGAAAGAACCTCTGTCAGATTCTTGGTCTCGCCCTTCTACATCTAAAATGAGCCCCCATAAGATTGGAAACAATAGCCCTCTCTCGCCAACATTTACGCCAATAGAATCCAATGAATCGGCACAACTATTTAAAATTACTGATACGAGTAGTTTACCACAAAACAGCGCACAATTCACAAACACCAACATAACATTACCTAACAAAAATATTAAACTTAACATAAGTAACTGTAGCAACGTTACATTTAATATTTCTTAATTATTTTCTACTTCTTATTATTTTCTTCAATTTATAGATTATCTTAATGTGTTTTAATTGAAATAAAAATATTTTGTCATTATAAATTGTTTTCTTTTTCATTTTGTCATTTCCTCGCTGAGGTGGGATGAAAAGTTACGTATTGCACTCGAGTGGAAAGATTTTTCACCTTGTGCTCGTTTGTTTCCCTCGCTGACGCTCAGGATTCTAATTTAGAATCACTCGCTGCGCTCGTGATTCAACTTTAGAATCCTTCGCTTGCTCGGTCATCCAAATCGAGCACGCGGTTAAAAAGGAACTTTCCACTCTTGTATAATAAATAACTATTATTTATTGACGTTTCGCAGCCTTTTCAGGTCGTCAGAATAATGATTTTTTATTTAAAATTGTCGAGCTACCTTCGAAAGACTTATATTGAGCGTTCGGTTATTTCATTGGAAGATTTTTAAAATTTTATTGTCTATGTATGAATTTATTATTTAATTTACTTAATAAAGTATTTTATTTAAAATTCTTGTTTGTAATTTTGAGTTTATTTATTTGACCCTAACTACCGTAAACTACCACCGGTTCCAAAATTGGGAGAACTTCCTGAGAAGAACCGGCGAAACAAACTCAGCTGCAGCTGAGCGGCGGTTCGTTCCTCGAATGATGCGCGAGGCTATTGAGATTAAAAAATATCCAAATTTTCAATAGGTAAGATGGTTGGTATATACCACCAGCTTGGGAACCTATTATACAGGAGATAAAATCCCAACCCCGAGCACACACTGCAAGACCATCAGATACTATTAGTTCTTTTTGTTTACATAATTTAACATAAGAAGGAGATGGAAAGCCTCTCTTGAGTTTGTTTCGCCGGTTCTTCTCAGGAAGGTCTCCCAATTTTGGAACCGGTGGTAGTTTACGGTAGTTAGGGTCAAATAAATAAACTCAAAATTACAAACAAGAATTTTAAATAAAATACTTTATTAAGTAAATTAAATAATAAATTCATACATAGACAATAAAATTTTAAAAATCTTCCAATGAAATAACCGAACGCTCAATATAAGTCTTTCGAAGGTAGCTCGACAATTTTAAATAAAAAATCATTATTCTGACGATGCAGACCTGAAAAGGCTGCGAAACGTCAATAAATAAATAAAGTTTTCGTGCATTAACCCGTAAAAACTAGTTTTATTTATTAGAGATATACCTAAATGTGGTATTATAGGGTAAGGGGCAACCGTTTTAGTCTACGGAGGAGTGGGTACGTGAAGCCGTTGGCGTCTGCATTATAAGCAGTACATAACCATTAACATTCAGTATTAACATACCAATAATTCAATAGTTTATTTTCATCGATAATACTGACTAGACAACTCCTGCTGGCTGCGGGCACCTGACCCATTTTACAAATAATGTTAGTGCTGCCAGACCACTATCTCGCATTTTCTCCAAGTCTTCTCCATAATCCCCCCGAAATTCAGGTGTTAAAGACTAAGGCCCGTATTAATAGTTCGCTCTCAACTCTGAGAGTGATCTTAAGTACGATCTTGAATGCTATAATGATATATATATGCATAATATCTATGCTGTTTTGTATAAAAATAATGTCTCAAGGTGGTCTCAAGATTGTAGTGTCAGAGTTGAGAGCGATCTTTTAATACGGGCCTAAATCTGCCCCAAAACATCAACCATGCGCGAGCCGAATGAGCACACACGCACACGTACGTATTTGTAATTCAGCGCATAGAAAATAGTTTTATAAAAATCTTCCCACTTCTGTGTTCGAAGAAAGGCAAACTCAGAATTATTTATGATAATTACGCCAAAATTTCAATTATTAAGTGAAATTGAAAATATAACATTATGCACTGTAGAGAGCTACTGTCCCAGTCGTCTGTTTTAGTCGTTAGTCTATAAATTTTAATTTATGTTACATAAAGAATCGATATTATGAATTAAAAAGAAAGCGGCCTTTTTTCCGCAGGCCAGGGTCGGCTGGACGGCGCGTTCTGTGACTTCACGGAGGCGGACAAAATGGAGTACCTGGAGAGCATACACAAGGCGGGCGTCGTCAACATCGAGATGGAGTCCCTCGCCTTCGCGGCGCTGACGCACCACGCCGGCGTCAAGGCCGCCGTCATCTGCGTCACGCTGCTAGACAGGCTCAAAGGAGATCAGGTATCTACATCATCATCAGCGTGTTTGGATAAGTTTAGATGGTCGCACGTCGTCGCGCATGATCGCACGTCAAAGGAGATCAGATGACAAGCGATAACACGCGACTACCCTCATCCATTATTTGCTGCCCCTGACGTTTGCACGCAACAAGTCGGAACGTCTGAACAAGCCGATACTTGACTATAGGAACTCAATACGTGCGCAATAATGATTTTCAGACTCCTGCGCGCGTTAGAATGTACGCGCGTTGTCAAGCGACCATCTGAGTTTAGCTTTAATATCTCCAATGCTGAGGCACAGGCCTTCCTATGGATGAAATGGGAAGATTGGGCCGTGACCCAACACGTGGACCCAGGGCGGAGTAGTGGGTGCTTATGACTGCAGAAGCAGCCGGGACCAATGGTTTAACATGCCTTCTCGGAGGAGCTCGGGATCAATAATTTTTAGTCACCCGTCCAATGACCGACCACAGCGAAAGTTGCTTAACTTCTATAATCGAAGGCAAGATGAGCTAAATACCTGCGCCATCGAGATCCTCAAATCAGGTATACCTGGTGCGATTCAAACTTTATGAAAGCTGTACAGTCAGATGAACACCCTCGTTTATAAAAAAAACGTTTATAGCGCCGCGATTTGCGCTAACTTTATAGAATATTTTTGAGTGTAACTATTTATTTTTAACGATAAATGCTTACCTGACAATATAAAAGGTTATTTTAAATGTAACTTTACTTATTTCTTTAGGTATTGGCACCAAAAGAAGTTTTGGATGAGTGGCAGCAACGTCCAACAAAGTTGGTTTGTCGCTATATAAAAAGGTAAGTGTACTATTTAAATGATTGTTCTTATAAACGTGAAAGAATCGATTGCCTCGCAAGGTCTAGGATCAGATTCAGGAATGACTTGAAGATTGATTTGTAAGGTTCCTTAACGCTTACCTATGACGGGATGCATTGTTATTTGTGGGAAAGGCTGATGAAGGAGTTACTTCATGATGATGAAAGAAAACGGTAATTTACCGTAGATAAATAGAAGTTACCGAGTTTTTTGATCTTTTAGTATCTTTTCTTAAGTGTAAATACACAGATTGAACCAAGAAACTCTTTAAATTTAAGAGATTAACTCAACGATACTGGATTGAAAATTTCTTGACTTTTTAAAATACTCCATATAATGCTTCTATTGACGACAACTCTTTCTCTTTCGAAGACAAGAGAAAATACAGTTCATGCCCAATCCGGTTCGATCGAAAGACCAATGTTAAGATTTTTTTGTCAATTTACGTGTTTGTCTAACAAATTTATTCGTTTAAGGCTTTGTTTGATGCGTTTGACAAACAAGTAAAAGGTGAAGTTTGTCAAACAAATTTGATCGTTGACTGGCCCTTTTATTGGCAGTTAGAACGTGACTTGTATTTTGTAAATAAAATAAATTTACCCAATAAATCTGTACATTTGACCAGTTGACATCAAGAAACTATAAAAACCACAAAAGTTATAGAAACAAAAGCCTTATAAAAGAGGCTTCTAAACCGGTCTTCGAAAAAGGAGGTACTTAAAGTCTGGACTGATTTTATTAGGCGTTTTAATGGTATATCTATTGCTGCATGCATGCATACATTATTAAAATTAAAAAGAATTTCCTTATTTCAACGCAACTCGTTGTTGAGGTATATATATTTAATAAAATTCAATGTATAAGAAGCGGTTGCGCGTAATTACCTACTTACTGTTCTTTGTCCTTAAAACCTTTCGGGGAATTTGCAAAGACAAAATGCTTATGAGGTCATTTTTGTCATCGCAGTAATTTAATTTCTCTGTCAGTTGTTACTTGCAATCACCGATGAGTCCTACATTAAATAAAGATTACGAGATTAGAATAATTAAGTTGTATTTTAAGTGTACCTAGCAGTGGCGTAGCGTGCCTTGGCGGAGCCCCGTATAAAAAATTGTTTGGGGGCCCTTAGGATGGGTAAAGATTTCTCACAAAAGAAAAAAAATGTTTGCAAAAAATTAAAAGAAATATTTATTCATCATCATTATCTATCTGTCATATTTTCCAAACTTTTTACAAACAATTCAAATTAAATATACAACTCATCTTGCCTTTTTTTCAGCAAACTGATTTATTAGAACATTTATAGCAGATAGAGATGATGACTTTAGTTTTTCTAAAGTTTCTGCCTCTACGGACAATAGTGACTCAGTGGTTTATCATCGTATCGCATGTACACCGATTGTTGTAGGATTCCCCCGTTCAAGTAAATGACTTTAACGGGGTAATCCCGCAGCCCGCGATAACCGATGTAGGGTGGTGCCAACGCACGCTTTACGCAGGAAAAAAAGAAATTGCTTTTTGAGACTTTTGTCATTTCTGAAAAAATTTTTTGGGAAGTTTTTATTAATTTTTCTTACGTCCGTTGTGGGCCCCCGTATAATTGATACGGCAGATACGGCGGTAGCTACCCCACCAATACCTAGTGTTAGATAATATAGGTATAAATCGTATAAGGTATTGTAACTACATACAGTGCCGGATTTAGGGTAAGTTTAGTTAAGGGCTATTACCTAGGCCCAGAGGTCTCAATATCTAAATTTTAAGGCAAATCGTAAGAGGCCCGGGGCGCCAGATTTTAAAATTCACTGCCATCTGGGGTCGTACATTAAAGTGCTAGGTGATATAGAAATCATGATACTGCTGCATTGTAAGGAAGAAATCGAAGGTAGAAGCGAAACGCTATTGAAGTATTCCAAAGATATAATTATAATTCTACCAATAAGTAGTATAGTACCTATATTGAAATTTCCTTTTCAGTTCCTTTTCTAAGAAATATCATTAAAACTGAAATCAATAACGAAGTGGTAAAAATGCCAGTTTATGAATGCTTTTCTTCTGTGAACAGATATCTTCAGATGAAGGGCAGACTATCGCTGGACGGTCACGGCTCCATCGCGGTGAAGAGCCCGCGCCGGTTCAAGCTGGTGCAACAGGAGTCAGAGACCTACGACTAAAGATCAACCAGCTCGTTCACTTTAATGACCAACGTTCTCATTATCATAATGCTATTTGTTTTGATTATATACACGCCTAGATAGAGTAACCCAAATCTTTGCGTGGTTAGCACTCAGAAAAGGACTCGTTTTACGCGCCATGTGTGCTAATTATGTCAGATAGTTTGAAAGCAGTCAAAGTGTGCGTGTGTAGCGACGAGCTTATCTACCATATGTAGTACGTAGTAGATATTTTGTGAGTCGCTTCTGTGCAGTTAAGTATCTAGGCGTATATGTAATAAAAGGCTATTTGTATGTAACGAAACATTGAATCACGGAATTCAAACGATGTTAGCTTTATCTTAAACGTCTACATAAACAATTACACGTTACAAAATATTGTGATTACTAATTTTGAGTAGGTAATCATTGTTTATAATTATAAGTGTATTTATTTCCTTCTAATGGAACTTTTGAATGTTGGTTGAATTTTTAATTGTATGCATCTATATGTAATCAACGAATTGTTTTTATTTAAAACGATTTTGAATAAAAATTATAAATTTAAGACCGTTGTCGCTTTGACGGATAAAAGTTCTAACTGCTCTTCGAAAATTTACTCAATATGTAGTAATAATAATGCTCTATATTTATTACAATAATCTCGCAAATTCGACGTTTTGAATAAGTATCTATATGTAAATAAAAACAGTTTTACTTATCCAGTAGGTATAGAGGGCATAAGAAGTGTAATTTTTATTTGAAATAATATGAGAGCTAATTCTTTTCAAAACGAAGTTACTGTTAACTTGGTCAAATTATAAAATGTAATGTTATGTTAGGTAGGATATTAGATTACGTTGTTATTTGTCAACAATTTATTTATTTTATGAAATGAAGACTTTGTCAAATTTATATATTATGATTACTGCCAAACATGGAATTGAAAATGGCGTTCCGACATTTAATACACATTGTCTACTTTGGCGTAGCGCGCATTGTTTTGCGTAGCGAGTCACTAAACCATGTACGCGTATAATTGCAAAAACCTCCATATAATCAAACCAGATAATATCTTCTCTCAAGTACGTAGAAACTATCTATCTGTTTAGTTATTGTCAATCTTAAAAAAGAGCTAAATATTAATTGATCCACATCACTAGTACTAACTAATTGAATAAATACAATAAATAACCTCTCTGCGCATCGCACTGCTTGCGTGCGCAGTCAGATAAAAATAAAAAAACAATGACTTGTCCCAACATATCATTAATGATGTTGCATATCGCTACTCATTAGTCGATTTTTAGACAAAAATATCATTACTTATATCTGCTATTTACAAAAGTACCTACGGTATTGCATGATTGGTGTACTTAGAATTTTATAACTAGTCGGCTAATTGGAACAATATTTCGAATGTAAAAACAGCTATTTACTAGATACTTATTCCTCCAAAATTAAATTAATTTCATAGTATTTACTTGTGTATTATCAATATTTACTTTTAATTTTTATGTATTTATTTACTTTTGTTTGTATTTTTCATTTGATGTAGGTAATTGATACATACTTATACTTTTAACGTAAAATTTTAGGTAATGTAAGTATTATACTAAATAATATCTGAATACAGATAACATGTGTTCTTGATAAACAAACAAAACAAAGTAGGGCTTAGGTAATGTACTATCACGGAAGTCTTTGTAAAATAAGGTATTAAGCAACTTTAGACACAGATTATGTCGAATATAAAGTAGTCAATCACGTACCTAAATTGCCATCATGCAACGGCATGCTAACGAGCACCGATATTTTGTAATTAAAGTAAATTTACACAAACTGGGCTGCATTTTCCCTGAGGGTGGACCTGCACACTTGATCGTGATAGTACATTTGCATCTAGAATGAGAAATGTCTGATCTAACATTGACAATTTTAATTTATAGGTACCTACCTACTTTAAACTTAGAGCCTGCTGATTAAGTCCCTGATAGCCTGTTCAAAATTTACCTGAGTGCCAGGTGACCACTAAAATTTTTGAATTAACTGGTCTTGAGTAGAAAAATTCTGACAGATAAAGCAGTACAATATCAGGATACTTTATCTGTTAAATAGGTAACACCTACATTTTTGTAGATAATTATATATAATTTTGTGATTGTAATTTTGATGATAATATTCAGTTCCGTTGTTAAAGTAAATTTATATGAATATCATATTTTATTAAACGCAACCAAGAAAACAACCAATAAAAATTTAATAATAAGTATATTCGGAGTTTTGTGGGATTATAGTTGAATAAGTATTTTTATTCATTAAGTAATTGTATTTTTACCAAATTCCCCAATTATAATTCCCCACACATCTAAATTAATTTATTTGGTGAGCGGATTAAGGTTGGTTAGACATTTCTCATTCATTAAATGTAGCGTTTCCAAAATTATGTGATACAATCATTAGGAAGTAAGTGTACACACCACGGATAGTCTGATTGTCGATCGTGTTGTTACATTTTCAAGATAATATGATTAGAATTAAAAAGGCAAATCCAATCTAGCATAATATATGGCTGTTCAATGTACCTAGCCATTTACAATGAAATATTTCTCATGTCATCTAGTCTTAATCGTGTACTTATGTATCTACATCTTGAAGAGTTTGACTTTTCTCCGCGAAATCCCTGTGTGATTTGAAATTACAATACAAAATTCAAATCCCACCGCGAATTTTACGGTGAAAGAAAAGTGAGTTTGTTCTTACAGAATGCGAATCAAAAAAGTTTCAGATAAAAAAAATGCAGCACAGCAATACACTGGTTTTGAAGGGCTGGTTTTCGCTTAGTAAGTATTCACGATCGACAAAAGTAGACATTTCGTCCGATCGATTTGATGTGCTTCCACGATTACTGTTTATTGTTAACTGTTTTGCACAAAGTGTTTTCACAAATATTTTGAAATTGTTCTCAAATGAAAATAAGTACAATGGGCCGTCAGCAAATTGAGCACTTGTTGAGTTGATAATTGCTGAGTAAGCATCATTTTAGACAAGGAACTTATCACTATATATAGTGATGATGGGTAATTGATCCACCAACAAAGATTATGACCATTTTTGTTGATTCGTATAATTGTGACTATTTATGTAGTTATAATTTTATATCAAAGAATTTATATATGTTCAGAGAAAATTTTGTAATGTTATAAAAATAAAAGGAGTTTTTGTTTAGAATTTGAGATAAATTATCACCATTGCACGCGATTGCTATTAAAAATCTAAAGTCTGTCGTAGGTGTTAACGTATTGTTTTGAAATTGTTTCTTTCATAAGTCAAATAATTTTGAATTGGTATTAACTTCATTAAGCACATTTCCCATTACTCAGTTCAGCAAACCAATTTTTAAGAGAATCGATGAAAAAAACATGACATACATAAGGAGATTACTACTTACGGAGAGTACGAAATAAAAAAAAATGGAATTTTCGTTATAAAATAAAGTGTTACAAATAAAGCGTCACTCCGAGTACTTTTAAAAAAAGATTAACGAATTAAAGATTTGGTGATATAACTTTTTTTCCAATAATTCGAACAAAATAATACAATTGTACTATATAATTGTCGTTGCCTTTAACGAGTAGTTTGAATAATGTAGGCTTGAAGTAAACTATCGGAATTGTTATATAAGAAATTTGCAGTTTGCTAGTTGCCTGTGACGGTAATTCACTATGATGTTGTCTTATAAATGATAGTAGACGTTTGCAAACGTGGACTCAAATATGTTATTCGGTGTTAAATTATCAGTTAAACAAAAATGAAATGTTATTGTTAGATCTAGCTCTAAGGCTGCTACGACGACCTAAAACGTGTTTAATCTATATACTTGAATGTTATCATTACTAATAGGCTAAATTATTAAGAATAATAAATTAATAAAAAAATTAGATCACTGTTTCTTTTATGAATTATCTGAACTACACCTAAGTATATTATTCCTAAAATACCTTGGTATGGAAATAAATTTATTACAATTGTTTTGAATTTTACAAGAAAGTCGTAACGAAATATTTTTTACTGATATGTTAGTCAGAAATCTAATATATCTATATATCGCACCTCCAGTGCGACACTGTCACTTATGCAAAAAAATCATTTTTCAGGAGAAGCGTTTAAAACTTTAACATCCCAAAACATATAATATTTAAAGTTTTATTTTTATTTTTTTTAAGATGAATAGCTAAGCTGTATAAGCTTTTCATCACGTAAAAATCTTTAAATATTGTATGTTTTGGATATTAAAGTTTTAAACGCTCATCCTGAAAAAAAATGTTTTTGCTTATGTGACAGTGTCGCACCGCAGGTGCGATATATAAAAATCAGTTGTTGTTCGTTTGTCTTGATATAAGTCGAGAACGGCTGGGCTGATTTAGCTGATTTTTATTTTGAAATGTTTGTCGTAGCTCAGGAAAGGTTAAAACGCTGAGAAAAAAATGGAAAAACTGCGAGGAAGATAGTAAAAACAACAATTTAATTGCCCATATAAACAGCAGTTCTGGCAACTTTCCTCTCAAAAATTTGACGTACTCCCCTACCCTCAGCACGAAGAAATATCGAATTTGAATAGATTACGAGTGCCAAATGTCATTGTCAAATATTATAAGGAAACTTGAACAGCAGCGCCATAAGCGCCTTAACGAGAACTAAAAAACAGTAGACATTTGACAATGACATTCACAAACTATTCGAATTCGATATTGGTTCGTGCTAAGGGTAGTACGGTAGACTCGGGTCCAGTCGATAATAACCACATTCTGTCGACTGTTAGGCGGCACGCAGTTCGCCGGGTCTGCTAGTCGCTCATAAAAATGCAGTGGATTACGAAAGATCGTTTCTATAAGAGTTCGACTGCTTTGCCTACATAAAAGGTAAACTAGAATAAAATTCTAATCTAGTAGTAGTGAGTTAGTTCAATTGGCTCCAGAAATACAGGCGGAATATCTTGGATCGGTTGGTATCGTTTGCTAGTATCTACAAGAGTCTAAATCTGTTTCATCATTTGCGATGCTGATAAAGTCCCTAAAAGCCTTTTCGAATCTTATATATCGGATAAACAACATATATAGGTACGTACACAGAGTTACAGGAAAAGTCGACCTAGATATTTAAGGAAATTAATATTTAGGTCTTTGCTGATATATTAATTGCTGATATCTATGACCCTATGACCTACTGACGAAAAGTTAACCATTTTCTAAAAATTTGGGCTACATTTTTTCTCTTAAAAGAACCATTATTTGTTCTAATTTTATTTTGATTTAATTTTTTTCTTTCTTGGATAAGACTTTTTACGGTTTTTACATAGAAGGCATGCCAGTTCATAAAAACAATATTATTAAACTTGAAAATCTGCTGTCTGGTTAAAGTGGCAGCTAATCTTTGCAGCTAATTACTGTTGGAATGATTTTTTTCACTTTCTCTGTTTTTCCAACTTTCAAATATGTAGATTTATTAAAAAAAATGGGTGCGTGTACTTATGTAGGCGCGTGAGAAGTTATCCTTCATTGGCATCGTTTAAAATTAGTTTTTAATTGCATGCAAATAATTAATTATAATAAATTAATAAAAAGTCTGGAAAAGGACACAGTCAATAAAGTTCAGTTTTAATTTGAAAAAATAAATAAATAATCAAAATATTCAATTAAAATCGCTACTGAATATAATTTATTAGAACATATGTAATTTGCACTTGTATGAAACTCAAACACGTATTCCGAATATACAAACTAGAAACATGTGGATAAATATTATAAACATGAATACCTATAACTGTTACTTTATTACAAAAAATAAAGATGTGGTTTTTGGTTCTACTACACCAATGGTCAAGAGATGGCGCTGTAGTCTCCTGAATCGCGCTTTGGTTCCGTTGTTCCAGATTAATAAATACTTTTGATATTATAAATATGAATACCTATAACTGTTACTTTATTACAAAAAATAAAGATGTGGTTTTTGGTTCTACTACACCAATGGTCAAGAGATGGCGCTGTTGTCTCCTGAATCGCGCTTTGGTTCCGTTGTTCCAGATTATTAAATACTTTTGATAGGCCTTCACAATGCAGTCGTTAGCACCCACTAAATAGAGATTCTATTTCTATTTTGTTGGTAGATTTTCTGAATGTGCGGTAAACACAAAAGTAACAGCATGAAGTTAGTCGCTAAAGCGACCAACTTCATGCTGTTAAAATTTTGTGTTACAGTGATGCGCGCGCATCTTAAAATTTCACTCTCATCATTTTTTCATAACGCGCCTAAAGAAGTATAACTTCAAAAAAGTTGTAACGAAGGTAACCTGCAGGTTATAATAATGACAAACATGTTTTAATCTATTCAAAATGGTATAAAACTCTAAGTAGGTAAAGTAGTGAAATCAACGCTGAAATGAAGAAGGAAGTTGTCACAGGCCATGTTTTTTATTATTTCATTCCCTTTTATTTTTGAACGTTTACTATTTATGGTTTGCGTTATGTTAGTTTCATGTAGCATGAAATAAAAATTAGATCATTAGAGATGAAAATATTAAGAACCATTAATTAAACTTTAGACACGTAAACGACGCTGGTGTGACAATTCATATCACGTAAGTATTATATACCTGTTATTTAAATTCAATAGAGTCATTGTTAGTTTATCTGAAAAAAAAATAGATGACTGATTTAAAATTTGTTATTTGGTACTTCTCCTTCGTGCTTCAGAATGCATGTTAAACCGTTTATCCCAGCTGCATCTGCAGTTGTAAGCTCCCACCGATCGATCTGCACTGGGCTCGCTGCCATAAGGGCTATGACCAGTTCGGTTTGGTGATTCTCCCGATTTAGTTTTATGATCTGTAGAGAATGAAAAGGAAGCTAGCTTACTTTCAAATTTAGTTTTATAGTAAGGGAAACATATCCAAAGAAATTTTTTGCCCATGGAATCAATTCTGGCCATGAATGAACTTGGAATCGAACCACAGCGTCCCACGCTTTACGAGAAATTCCCTTACTATTATGACCGAGATTTTACATATTTTAGAAGGTTATTTTATATTTAGTTCTAAATAAAATGTAGTTTACAGGAGAATATATTTTATTATTTTATTTACATTATTTATTTACACGACTTACAACAACAAGATTACTAACTACAGTAATCGAGTGTACCTATCATCTTAACAATGTCTAAGGAGAAACAGTATATGGAATTCAAAAATAGGCAAGTGATTACTGCTTTTTATCATGGCACCATTATTCATTTGTGATGTAAGTAATGAGAATTTGGAAAAGAGTTACTACATTTTTTCTAAAAATCATAAATAAAACATTATTAAAATGATATATCTATAAATAGCCTAACATCTTTTTTTTCATAATATTTTAAAAAAGTTTTATTATCAAAATGAAGAGTTGGAAATAGGTACAGACATGCAATTATTACATAAAATCATTATTGTTCTGTTTTATATTGATGTCGGTTACAAGCAAGCAGACAAAGGACATGCATCAGTCTTACGCTTATAAATAGAGAGTAATAGTAAAAGCTCTTGTTAACTAACTAAAATGAGCAAATAATTGTGAGCAGTTATGTTATTTTAACTGTAGGAACTTCATGAGTGCGTCATATATGAGGCGGGGACTGGCGTCACTATCAGCCGTGTATCGAACTCCTCGCAGTGCCCCGTCTTCGTTTCTCACCACTCCATACTCTCCTACGATAAATCCGTCTGCAGTTCTTTCTTCAACTCTATATTTCTTATACTGCCGACCTTCCACAACGTAGCCAACTTTACAGTTATCCTGTTTGCATTTCTCTGTACTGGTCTCTTGTACTCCGTGACTTCGACCATCAGTCAGAACGCTAACTTTCTCATCCACCTCATAGTTTTTTTCCGGCAAATGTTCAATAATTCGTTTCGTATTTAGTAAAGCAGTTGATAAAGTATTTAAGGTTGTCGGAGTTGTAGAAATAATTGTACTAGATAAGGGCGTAATTTGCGAATGTTGTTGCCAAGGCGAACTCGTTATAACAGTACTTTGCACAGGACTACTCCAAGGTATATAATTAGGTTGACTGTCGTGAGACAAATGAAGTGAAGCTGGTTCACTGTAAAATTTTGCAGGTTCGCTGTAAATTTTTGCTGGTTCACTATAAATTTTGGCGGGTTCACTGTAAATTTTTGCCGGTTCACTGTAAATTTTTGCGGGTTCGCTATAAAATTTCGCTGGTTCACTGTAAATTTTTGCCGGTTGACTATATACTTTAGGTGGTTCGTAAAATTTATGTACTTCTGTATTCATAATGCTGAATGCATTATTAGGATCATTATTAAAAGTATTAGATTGGTTAGGTCTGTCGTGCACTACATCAAAACTGACAGTCGTCAAGCACGGACTGTTCCCCCTTTCAGTAGGCGATACGTGTTTAAGACCTTGAATATAATTCTTTAAAGAAGGCGAGTGGGACACAGATCTTGCTAATGGAACGTTTTCAATGTTTTCGTCTTCAATGTAGAGATTTTCAGTCGCAATAGTGTGTATCGATTTATTTGATGGTTCAGTCATGGTGCCATCGGTTTTATTACTTTTTGAAATCAATCCTGATTTTTCACTAAACGCTTGACCTTCGACTCCTTCCAGTACTTTATTAGAACGTATTTTATTCACAGATTTTAATACTGGTTCAGGTTCGTGAATTTTGTCAAAATCGTGGCGTTGTATAGCTGTTTCGTACGAATCAACTTTCGACGATTCTTCCGCCAACGAATCTGTTGGTCGTTCGTTTTCGATATTTTTACTTTCTTTTTCGTTCGATAAAGAATCAATAGGAGAATCAAGATCTTCGAAGAGCGGAGTGTAATCTTTCTTTTGAAAGGGATGAATTGGACTTGCTTTGCTCAGTGTTTCTTTTTTCGCATTGAGCTGTTTTATATATTCAATATTGGCTCCTATTAAATTTTGGGCTATTTCAGTCGTTGTGGTTTCATTTTCTACATAATTAATAAGTGTTTTTATATTTTCTAAATTTAATGACTGTTCATTATTAGGGATTGGTTCATGAATACTATTAATTTCTTGGGGGGCTGTTTTGGCACCGCCACCGCCTCGGTCAACTGCAACAGATGAAGTAATTCGTACTGATATCACACGTTCATCATTTTCATTATTTGGTTTATTTTGAGCATCGTAGTTGAGTTTTTCAAGCGTTGCCTCATCTCTACTTAGACTCTGTATTGGTCTCGAGGTGACCAGAGCACATGGCACGATCTGAAAAATAAAGAAAAATGAAGCGTAAGTACCTACATATTTCATTATCAACAGACTGTTAGACAGATACAAAGTGGATATTTTATATTTATTATAAAATTCATAGTATTTGTATGTAGCTTTTTTTTATGAAACAGCGATCCGCCCAGCCTTATGATCCATTATGACGTTAGACTGAACTTTATTTAACGCAAAAAACATGATTTGTGCCATATGTTATTCAGGAATAATGTAACATTCTAACGATAAAAGGATTTTTGAATCAGTTTATTCAAACATATTAGAATACAAATCTTTCCTCTTTATAATATTAGTATTATTGTAATAATATATATGTACAATACACCAGGATCAAATACCACTGTGTTCATACGAACACTTTTAATTACCATATAATACAAGTAAAAGGTATGTAATTTTATCAATAAATATGAACTGACAATAAAGGTAAAAGTTATGGCGAAGAAGAAGTGGAATTACTTGAAGCTGTCACATAGGTATAATTTATTATTTCAATCAAGACCAAACAAGAACACTTTAAGTAACTCAGATGAGTAGAGTTTAAAATTATACTAAGTATTTAATTAAAAACATCATTCAATTTTATAACCATAACAATTCTTGGTGTGACATTTATGCATATTATAAACTCGGGTAAGTATGAGATTTAAGTGAATTTTGTTTGGTAATTGGTATATCCTATCAATACCCATAGGTTACAGAGCTGTTTGTTAATAGTCTGTAACATATGAATAGGTAAAGCTATTTTTGAATTATTCAAAATCTTATACTAAATGTATTGTAGCAATTGAATTGAATAGAGCAATGAATTTGGACCAGCCCTATTTTAGAAAATCAGCTTTTATTTCTCATTTGTTAGAATTTTTTGTCGATTTCGATTGATATTTTTTGTTATATGATTGAATGCAGGGCAAATTTAATTCAGAATAGCATTCATATTATCATAATTGGATTTGATATCGTAAAATATAAAAATATTTAAAGGTACCTGTTTTAATTATTCTTGTGTATATTTAAATTAAAATTTGTTTTCGAAAACAGCTGCTACTTAAAAATATTATTTAAAATAACTTTATGCAAAAAAAAGAATTATGTAAGGAGTTTAGAAGTAATTTTAAATCAATTGATACTTATATAGAGTCTTAATCATAATTGAAGTCTTAAAAACTGCCCTTTGGAACAAAGTATGCTCATATATGTAAATAATCCGTAAATGTAGTGTAGTACAAGTAAACAGACGGATATCAATTTAATGGCATAGTAAAAAATAATGTACAACCTGTCTGACTTGAGAAATATGCGAAACAGGTTGTGCCGCGACTTAAGTATAAGTAGCAGTAACCAATACAATGAACTACTTTTTTTAAATATTAAACGCCAGTAAATTGCAGACCTCTCACTTTTTCTGTCCATATACGGAAAAAATGAGCCTCATTGTGTAACTTCCTCTATTTCTTTTTCATTGCATATTTAGCAAAGGGATCAGTTATGCTATTCTGTAAAATTTTCACGCGTATATTTCCCATACAGATTCGCGCGGATCCAGAACGGAGCGCGCGTGAAAATTTTACAGAATAGCACTGCAGCATATAGTAGGGGAACCCAAGCGGGGGGATTTTTGGATTTACTCGAGCGCGGCAGAATAACACATGGGGGGCAACTTTGCACCTAGTTAAGTACTTCCACCGTATGGTGACCTCAGGTATTGAGCCCTCTATGTAGGGCCGAACGTCTAGGTCAGCAAAAACAAATTTTCAACGAACGGTCATGACTTTTGGTCGCACCCAAATCGTCAGTCTTTTGATTATACTTTTGCTACTAGAGGGTTCAAGTAACGTTTCTAAGAACGGAAAAAATATTGATCTGCTGCGGTTTGCATGATATGGGAGTGGCCGTACGAAGGGGTAGAATATAGGAAAAAAGGTAAATTTAAAAAATCAAAAAACCCGACTGCTTAATTATATTTCAATTAAAAAATAGATATTCAAGAATACATAATATTTTTCAATAATGGGTCCCGACTGTTAAAGTATCTTTGTTCCTTATTAACAGAATTATAGACTACTGGACTTGTTTTTTTCTTTTCATTTTTTAATTGAAGTATAATTAATCAGTCGGGTTATTTTAAAACGGTATATACCGTAGTCTTGTTACTTCAGTAAGGGAATTAATATTGCGCGAATTATTAAGTACATTGCGGTGGTCTAAAAAAATTGATTTATTAAGACATATAGAGACTTTACCAGCGGGGTCAAGGCTACAGATGGGCCTCAATTTTCGCAAAAATGTGTGAAGTTAAATCAAGTCGTTACATAAATATCTAATGAATGTAAAGGAGATTGCTCAGCTTCCATACATGTTTGGCCTAAAAACCAATAATCATGAAAAATTGTTTCCTAGATTCGAAATTATATGTAAATTACTGTAGAAACGAATATTATTGACGGACACCCCTCAGAACTTCTATAAACCATATACACTGAACATATTAAAACAATAAAAAATAAATAAGTTATATAGTAAACTAGGGAAATTAAGCCAAGTACCGAAATTATGGATTAGATTCAGGTATATAGAACATGTATATTAACAGATAGTTGCCTGTTTTTAAAGTTAATGCATAAGAGTAACTTTTCAAATCAGGTGTCATTTCCGGTTATAATAAGGTAGGTACTTTTTTTTTTGAAGTTCTCCCGTTTTAGGGAAGGCAAAGGGCCATACAGCCTGGTCTTTAATTAAATTAATCTGGTCTTTAAATAATAAAAATTATAACTATAATTGCTATATCTTCTTTCAAATGTTTAATACTTGTAAAAGTATTCATTTGACATTGTGGGTTTACCTATAATGCGAAGAGATGGCGCTGCCTTGCAGCTTAAGAATAGCTAGAAAGAATTTCGACGCGGTCCGTGAGGGCCGCGGTAGCATAATTGGTCAGTGCATTCGCCCGGATTGCGAAGGGTGCGGGTTCGAGTCCCGTCTGCTGCCTGGTCCGCGTGGAATTTTTTCTAGTTATATTTTCTTTAGATTTAAACATCAAGCAGTTACATGCTTTAAAAATAATAAAAATTATAATCTTCTTTTTGTTTTTACATTAGAATGTCGGTGTGACGCATTCTAATGTTTCTTGGAGTGTTTGGCACGAAATGTATCAAGTTGGCTTTTTCGATAAGCTTCTGTGAGGTAGTCAACACTACAATAAAATTCTCACGTCCACTTGACCGCAATAGCGTATATTTTAATGATTCCACTAATTCTTCAGTTACGCAGACAGTTGTTACACAAAACCACACCAATTTTATTTCACAATATCCACTATGAACGAATTTAAGAATAATTAAAATAAGACGCCAACCGCACTCGATGAAATCCCGCCAAAAACCCTCTAAGGTAGGTACTCTGTGACAGAAACTGTGTGATGATTGTGAATGAGCCACAGATTAGAGAGAATTTTTAAACTCTCGTTAACCAAAGAAAGCTAAGAGATTTAGGTTCTATAGCCATATATTCAGTAGCTTCATTATTTTTGTTATTTTTAGTATATCACACCTTATAATGTGTTTATGGAGGCGCTTGGCGAAAAATGTATTGCAATAGACTTTATGATGTCTTAACAATTATTATAGATGGTAGGCGACTAACTATATTATCATTTTGACTACATTTACATGTATTACTTTTGTTATGTTTTTAAGATAACCATATTTTAGATTTTTAGTGTATCACACCTTATAATTTTATTTATTTATTAATTTATAGTCAGGGAACGTAGGCCCATAGATAGATACCTTAAAGTCTAACATATATACAGATTGTAATGTGTTTATGGAGGTGTTTGGCGAAAAATGTATGGCAATAGATTTTATGATGTCGCCTACCATCTATAATAATTGTCTGAGCACATTTGCATCTAGTGAAAATGATAATATAGTTGTGGATATTAATACCACAGTGTAATAAAAAAAGTGATTTATTTTATCGATCTTTACAAGATATATTTGTTTTTATGTTATATAAACAACTTCGATCAGTCTTTGGCTGAATGTTACTACACCCATAGCCATTAAAAATGATTCATATGTTTTCCAAACCGGTAAAATTAAAAGTCCTTTTTAAAGTAAATATACTATACAAAGGTGTCCGTTGAAATCTAATGACTGTAAATCAAATTATAAATTACGCCAAGAATTACCGTGTATGTCAATATTTTTTGTGCATTTAGGTCAATTTGAGCAATCTCCTTTTATAGTAAACTAGCACTTATTCAAAAAGTCATCTTTTGATTATGTTCTTTTTAGTAGTTTAGCAGTAAATATAAAATTCATTTACTTTTATTCGTCGACTATTTAAAATTGGCAGTAGCTGCATTGTCATGTCTACGCCCGGCTCTAAGATTGTGATATACAAAAATGCAGTGTCATATCCTAGTCTCATAATTTGATATACCTACATAATTCACAGAAACCCAATATGTAGATGCCAGAAGTTAACTTCAAATGTTGTTAATCACCCTATATACAATACCAATCAATGACGTTTATGTCGCAGGTTGAAGAAAGTAGTAATTCCCGTCTGTTGTTTTGGACAATGGTGGCAACTGCCTTAGATCGCTAAATTAAATAATTTTGCAATCACCAAAGCAAAGTTTATAATAATTGATTAAACTAAAGGCACATAATAAAATTTTCATAACGTTAGGTTGAGCACCATAGCAATCTCATTTATTATCAATTTATAGTTCTCTTTGTAGTTTTCTTTTAAAGCGTTCACGTATAACAAGTCAAAGACTTTGTGATCGACCCTTTTTTATTGGTAGTGTAAAGCTCGAATGAAGAGTACTTCCACCTATCAAGCCTGCTGCTACCAGCCTAGTAGGTATTGCAAATAGTGCAATCATGGCAAATATTTTCAAAATATTTTTTTTGTATAAAATAAATACCGATTAACGTATCACTGTTAAGCACAAATGTTGAGTAACT